CCTGTTAGAGTCACATATTTGAGCCACAGCCATGCCTTGAACAAGGCAGGAGCATTATGGATGCTCAACAAGGTCCCAACTTCTAGGGCATCACACTAAGGGCAAAGACCCAGCTTTCACAGCGGGTAGCTTTTCACTCACACGATCAGCAAGCAAAGCTCAACAACAAGCCCTGAAATGATTGAGAAATGCCATTCTGAGCCAGATGAGGTCCCAGTGTGAGCTCAGAAAGGATAAGCTCATGCTGGGAGCTTAAACCTCAGGGGGTCTGAAGAACATGAAGCTCCTTGAGACTGGACAATGCTGGACACTACACTGAGCTTCAGCAGAGGCACAGGTTCATGCATCCAAACAAATTTCTTGTGCTACCCCATAAAGTAGCAGAAAATCAGCTGCCATCTATATATTTACAGGCAAAGTGGGATATTTCTGAGCAGGATTAAGGGCTTTTAGGCTGTACTACTGGTAAAAGCAAGATGAGGGTGAGGTCAGGCCCGAGGTCTCAGCTTGCCCCATTCTTTACAGTCCTCCACAGCAAGAAGGCACAACATCTCTTCGCTAAGAAGGTGTTTTCTTACAGTCAAAGGGATGCTGAAAGAGTAGGTAATGCACATCACCTTGGAAGGTGTTGCAGGGCCCCCCAGCCTAAAATGTTCGATATGTGCATGGAGAAGTGGAAAGATGTAGTACACGGTAAACAAAGGCAACATTTCACAGCAGCATGTGGTACAGGCAGCTCACCTCAGGTAAATATGCCATGGATGAATAATAAAAAGCACTCCATTCACTTGAAGCAGAGGCTGTCATGGAAACCCTGGCAGTGAGAGGCATCATTTAGGGGATTTGATTAGAAGTGACGGAAGAAAAGTCATAGTTTCCTGGGAAGCATCAGGATTCAGAGATTAAACACAACAAGCAGGGTTGAAGCCTGGGCTCATGAACTTTTCAGCAGGTTGTGCCCATTTAGCCCAGGATGTACTTGCAGTTTACCGGTACCTTCAGTCTTGCAAACTGGAGTGGATTTTCCTCTTAGACCTGTTGAAAGGGTATAAGCCCTGCAGGACAATAAACATCTCTGTATGTTAATACTTAGGCTACCGTGGGGGAGACTCTTTGTAATCATGAAAAGGTAGTTGTTGCATATATATCCACCACAAGGTTTTGCAGTAGAGCCAAATTTCTTTTTCTTCCTTTTGGCAGAAGAAAAAGAGGTGGAAGAACTCTATGTGCTCTCCCTCCGAAATGCGATCCAGAAGGTCATGGATCCAGAAGGTCAGTGATGCACTCTCTCCAGACCAGCATCTCTCAGTGCTGAAGGCTCAGGGAAACTCTATGCTTTCCATTTGATCTGAATTAACACTAACTACCTTTTTCCAAAGCTAGATTTATCCTCTCCTCACTGAAAGATCACTAATCAGGATGCTCATTTTGCTCTGCTCATTTTGTTCGTGGATGTGCAAGCATCCTCCTCCTGGCACTCATTGATGAGGTTTATGTCTTAATTGGCATCCCCCAAGTCACTCCAGCATGAGGGCAGACAACTCGATAAATGTAAGAAACTGCCCTTCCTCTGGTCCTTTTTCCACCGTGCTTCCCCTTCCAGGCAGCCTGAGCTGTTTTATCACTTTCTCCAAAGGAAAATGCTGCTGAGTCCCCAAACCTCACAGCAGCAGGGCACTGTAGATAAGGCAGGGAAAATATTTCACTCGCAAGGAAACTGTGCTCATCTCGCACTAACATCCTCGTCCTCTGGAATCCAAGGCAATAATTACAGCAATTTGTAGATAATTATTTGTTAATTAAAAACAGGCTTGCTGGGTACAGTTACCAATTTCCTCCACTGGCTGCATAGGGCTGTGCAAGGAGACACCGGGGGATTGTTGGTTTCATAAAATCGTTTGTTTGTTCAGTTCAGAAAAAAAGCCCCCAGTGGGTCATCTCCCACCTCTCCCCATATCCTGGCAGGTCTGATTCATTCCCCTAAGACATCCCCAAGAGATCCATGCCCGGCTTTCCCATGTGATTTCCAAAGAAGGTGTCTGCTGCATTCCCCTACTGCAGCCTGTTTCCTCAGCTAATTTAATGACCCTGTGCTCACACAGGCTCATTTCCAGCCACATTTAAATGAGTAGCTCCTAAAGAAGGAGTTGTGACTCCAAGCTGAGGTCATGAGCCTGAAAGAAGCTCACCTCCATCCCAGGTTTATATGAGCTGTAATAAACAGTGTGGAGACGGAGTTACAGCTGAGAACAAACTCAAGCTGCTGGTTTAAACAGTGCTGTTGGGGCAATTACTCTGCCCTTGACTGGGCAGCCTGGGGTTCATGGTATCTTCCAAGACATAGTTTTTAGGCCACCTGTGACAAGAAGCAATGACAGGATTTCAAATGTCCCCCACTAAATACTGCATCCACAAGGAGTGTGTCTTGGGATGATGGCTGTCATGAATATGAGGATTTTCAATCTTCTGAGTCCTCTGTCTCTGTTTCTCCTACGGAGCACACCTTCTCCTGGGACCACCACATCCACCAGCCTGCCCCAGGGTCCCCCACAGAACCATTCCAAAACCAGGAGAAATTATTTAGCCATAGAAGCAGGAAAATCACATCGCTCCTGATCTACTGCTGGATTAAGCTAGCTCTGGGCAGTCACTTCAGATGTCCCTTCTCCTGTGGCACTGAGGAAACAGCTCATGGAGATCTGAGAGCTGGCTCTGTGGGTTGTACACAAAAATAGTACCAGTAGCACCAGCATAAACCATCATGGAAAGGCAAGTCCATGGGGAAATATGATGAGAAGAGAAAGTGAGCAGCCTCCTTGTCCAGGTTGTAGCAGAACAGCTTGGAGACATGGTGACAAGGATGGGACCAAGGAATAACATGGCCATTTTGTCATCATGTGCCCAGAAGCAGATTGTTCCCACCCCCCTTGGCAAAACAGTGGCATCAATGAGAACAAACTAGTGACAATGGAGAGGGGAAACAAATTAGGCTGTCAATATCTTCTTCATGGACATAATCTCAAGGTTGTTAGTCACACAGGGCTGGCTTCGCCCCTTTAATTTTCTCCTGTATGTGGACTTTCGTGTTTCTCTCATCACCTTAGTGGCCGAGTACCTGCACCATGTGCAGAGGAATCACAATTAAGCAAAGTGGCTGGATGTCATGATATATGGGACTATGTCTCTGCTTCAGCGGCGCAGAAAGCTAATGAAGAGCCGGGATTAAACATCAGGTTAATTAGTACCTTTAATTAGCTCTCAGTTATTAAATCCTTTCAGACCCTTAGATAAATTGGTCGAAGTACAAAACATTCCTTAGAAATGCTATTATTTACTCCCCTCTTCTCTCTCCAGGTAGGTGCAGGGCTGGAAAGCTCTAGCTTTCCTCCTGCTGCTTAATGCAGGAGTAGAGGCCATCCAAGCCTCAATGGCCCAGCATCAGTCTCTGAGACTACCCTTAAATTTGCAAGTCTACCAATTTGCAAATTCACAGTTCTTCTGAGGGGGGACAAGGCAGTACCCTGCCAATGCGGGCAACAGTAGGAGGAAAGGGAATAATATTGGGGGAAAAAGCAGTGAGTAACAGCTCCCCTTAACTCTGAGAGACCCAAACAGATTCAGAGGTTTGCTGCGGACTTAGTCACCCAGCAGCATGTTCCTTTCCATCCAACTTCCTCTGTGGCTGCAGCAGACAACCGTGGCAGACTCACAGGAAAAAAGAGCAGGAACTTCTCACACAGGCTTTGGAGCATTGCCAGTCACCATGCCAGTTAGACTAAAGGACGGGAAAAGCTACTCTAGGCTCCTGTTAGGAGAATCTCCCATGTTCACCTGCCTGAATAATTTTCCTGTGATTTCCACCCCACCATCCCATGCTAACCCACCACAGAGAGCTACTAAGACCTACGGGGTCAGCTGACCTTCAGAGAGCCCATAGCAGCACTGCCAGAGGCTGTTTTGGTAGACAATTTATTCATGGCAGAGGAATCCAGTTTCTGAGATCACCTTGGAGACCTACCCAAAGCATTTATCACCTGGAAAACGAGGGGCTCTGAAAAACCAACAAGCTCAGGCTCTGAATAGCCTGGAAAACTTATTCCTATGAAGTCAAATCTGTATGCCATTCTCATCATAGTACATTGGGAAACTGATGTTTGGGTCTAAGGAAAGGGGTTTCAGCATTTTTAGCATCAAGCCTTTTCTTCCCTAGTTATTAACAGCTGTATTGGTGGCCAAGGAATTCAGGTTCTCCTGGTGCTAGAGACCTAAATCCATAGGCTGAGAATTAACAGGGCCAAAGGGCTACTTTGGCTGTGGCTTGCTTAAGGGAATTTGCTTAGGAAAAATATAATAGTACAGGATTAAGCTGAGGGAAATTCCTCATTGCACCAGGAAAGATATCACCAAACAATGACTTACCCAGTACTTGTTTGTAATTCTAATAACCATAAATTATTAGAAAGCAGAAAGCAAAGGCTGGGATAAGATGCTGTTACTCAGCAAACCCAAATTCTGAGAAAAAGAATGCAGCTTTCTGGAAGATAACGTCTCTCTTTTTCCCTCTGTGCAGTTTCAAAGGAAAGGTACTTAATCCTTCTAAAAATAAGTATGAATGTATTTGCTTCTACAGTCTACAAAATATGTCCATATCAAAGTAATGTGGAGACATTTGGGAATGAAGTAGCTAATTTGATACTCACAAGAAAACATGACCATAGCCGAGGACTATATCTTAGAGAACTAGGCTGACCTTTCAGCAGCTGATGATAGTTCTAAAATGACTTCTCATCACTGAAAGCCCAATCTAACATCAGTTAAAATAATTAAAAGCTATCACTGGCTTCTGCCAATATTGGATTAGACCATATGAAACCCGCTCGAATGCTGGGAACCCAAGGAAATTATCATGGTAAATCTAAATTCTAGTGAAACATTACAGGCTTTAAAACATTTCTCTGCAGCCCCATTAAGAACGGGTTTCTTCTTAGCTCATGAATAATTCACTTTTTTTTCTTCTGATAGATGACAAGTACCACCACAATGAAGCCTAAGCCCAGCACAAAGACCACTGTTCCAGCCAAATTTTTGCTCACAGCAGATCCAGAGCATGTTTCTGTTGGAAGAGCAGTCCAGACAGTAAAGACCTGGGCATAGAGATTGCTTCCCTCAAAAAACATCTCTTCCTGTTTCTTGCTGTCCCCATAGAGCTAGAAGCAGTTCTCATCAACACTTTTTTATCTCCCCATTTCCAGTCACTTGCCCTGGGTCATGGTGATGGGCACTGGCAGGCTGACATGATCCACCTGGCATGCATAGATATCCTCTTGCTTAGGCAGGACATTCAAAATGACCAGGATCTGGAAAGACTAATCTCCCTTCAGGAGCCGATACACAACTTTGTCCATCTCCTCCTGCTCATTTTTGAACCACTTGATCATTGTTTCAGAAGGATAAAACCTTGTTGCAGAACAAACAGCTAGCTGGGATAGCCCCACAGCTCTGTTTCCATGGGAGAAATTTTCACTTTGCGTTTAACTGAAAAAGAGAGAGATGAAGAGTTCTGGCCAATTCTCCTCAGGAATCATTCCTAGCAACAAGACCTATGGATATCATACAGATTTCTCCTTCAAACCATTTGTCAATGCATCCTTTGTTCCAGATGCACTGCCTTCAACATGACCTCACATTACACATCTCCCAGCCACATTCACCTTTAATCCTCTTTCTTTCTTCCCTCAGTGAAGCACCATCTCAGAAGATGAACTGTACTTCTATCAGAAACATCTGTTAGGGACATTTCACATCACCTAAACCCAGCTAGGAGCATAGAAGAACCATTATTTCTCACTATCCTTTAAACTTCCCTCCCTGCAGACACCCTGACAACTGGTGTCCTGCTTCCCTGCTAAGACTGATCTGATCCACAGAGAGCACCAGTGCTCTCTGGAGAGCTTTTAGAAGGGCTCTGCTCTGCACTGAAAGAAACAAACTCTACATTCAGACACTTCCGTGTCTTTGCCAACGCCAGAAACATCTCCAAAACACACAGTTTACATACAGAGAAGGAACAGTGTTATGAGTTAGCTCCAGCTCTGCATGGACCTACTCAAACAACCTGAGATCTGGGATCATCCCTGGGGTTTATGGTATTGATGTTGCCAAACTGCTGGCCAGTGAAGATAGCATTCAGCAGTGAAAAGAGGATGGGTAGCTATAGGAAATGAGACCTACAACCATGAGATTATGCCATGAGATACGTGGTGAAGGGATTTCCATGAGCTATGTCACGAGACCTGTGGCTAAGGGATTCCCGTGGGCATGATGGCTGAGGAGGTGGTAGGTTATCAGGCGGAGGCTGCACAACCCTCATCGCTGCTATCAGTCAGGTGAAAGAGAGACTAATGCTACAGTGTCAGGGTTCTGTTCCACCCTTGCACAAGACTCACCGCCTTTGTAATCTCTCTCTTTGTTACTGTTGATGTCCCTTATTTACATTTAAAATGGCTGCCCCACCACCACTTACTATGGCAGTAACAGAAGATTTACCTCACCTCCACTTCTCCCAAAAGTATAAACCGGCATTGGAAATCCTCCATGGTGGAGGATCAGTTCTATATTCTTAACGCAACATCAGCTCTGTTGAGTACAAATTGGTGTTTCCCGGAGAGCTCTGGGAACACAGAGCCCTGTCCATCTCCCCGCCATCTTAAAAAAACATGCTGGAGACTGTATCTCCCAGCACATGAACACTGTCCTGCAGTCCAGGAGCCTGGAAGAACTCACAACAAAGTGAATAAGTTTCAACAGCACTGGCCCCAAAAATGGGAAATGGGAGAAAATGGGGAAATGCTCAGGAAAAGGGAGCATGGAGCAGACCAGGGTGTATGGAGCAGCAGCTGATGTACAGCTGAGCTCTTAGGGCATAAAGCCCATCTGAGAGACTGTCAGCTTTGCACTCTGCTAGTGCTTCATTGTCATTTTCTTCTGGGGATTGATGGACCAGATTCTTGCCCTCTCCAGGGATACCATTTGGACTTTAGAAAAAAGGATATTCAGCTGGATGGGAAAAGTTCAAATCCAGACCAAAAAAATCTGAGGCCAGACTTTCCTGTGTTATGCCCTTCCCTTCAAATACTCATAAGATGGCCCTGGAGCAGATGGATCTGAGGGAAAGGACCTTATCCCTTTCCTGGTGTCTTTAGACACTGTCATTGGTGTTACCGTCAGTTCTTCCCTAAATTAATTGTTTATCTTGCCTGGAGAGGGTTTTACAAGTCAAATAACACCAGAAAAAAGTATTCTGGACAGTAAGACAGAACACGAGGCAAAACCTACAGCTGAGAACAGTAATAAATGCACCATCCGTGGCCAGGCACAGAGAACACATAACATGCGCTGAACAGTCATTACATACAAGCTTAATTCTCACATTAAGCCAGGAGTTTCCTGAATGAGAGAGCCCTAATTTCCTACCAGTTTACATCCTGTATCTCTGCCTGACACTGCAGTACCAGCTCCTTCCTGCACTGTGATTCTTTAAGAAACCACATCACAGCAGCATACCAACACACAGCAAAGCTCAATGCTGGCCCTTACAGGAGGGGATGGTGATTTGCATTCAAACTAATTTTGCTTACTCAGGCGTACCAAGATATGAATATCCCTGTGTTTCCATCCAGCACTGAGGCAGCAACCTCTGTGTGTCCAGGCAGTCTGCATGATTCCATGCAGTGGCACAGAGGACAGATATTGGACAAGCTGCCCTTGTTGGCTGAGGATGTGCTTCTATCCCTCCCTCTACCTACCCTCCCTGCACCCCTCCCTGAGGCCTCCTATCCTTCCTCTCAATGTCTTTCTCATCCACTTGATTATGTCCGTGCCCCTGCTCTGCAGCTCTAATTCCTCAGGATGGCCTTTCAAGGCACTTGGAGCTCAGGTCAAGACTGAGAGCCATGGGTGGGGACACTGGCTTACTAGGAGCAAAGGCAGAGGTGAAGGAAGGTCCTGGCAAGCAGCACAAGGGACTTTGAGGACAAGACTTTAATGCACAGATAAAAAGCATCACAGGGAAAAGTCAAAACCAAACATCTACAAAGCTTTCCTCTCTCTTTCCCATGAGCCCAGCTCGTTTCTTTTAAATGAAGTCTCTGGCTAGCAATTCTTTCCTTACCTGAGACATTGCAGCGAAGCAGGGATTCATCTTCCTATAAGCAGTGTCACAACCAAAGCTGCTTCCCAGCACCTCCTGGCCCTGGGGCATCTCATTGCTGCTGTCTCTTGTTTAACCCACAGTGCTCCAAAGATCAGTGCACAGGAATGAGGCAACTTCTGACCACAAGCACAGCAGAAATATTCAGCTGCTGCCTTCCATGAGACTATGTTTCTTCAAGCCTCATCCAACCTGGCTTTGGACACTTCCAGGGATGGGGAAGTTGCGCCAGTGTCTCACCACTCTTATAGGGAAGAATTTCTTCCTTATGTGCAATCTAAATCTACACTCTTATATTTTAAAGCCATTGTCCCTCATCTTGGCATTAGTATGGGACTCTCCATCTTTCTTATAAACCCCCTTTAACTATGGAAGGGCTGCAATAACGTGTCCCTGGAGCCTTTTCTTCTCCATGGTGAACAATCCCAACTCTCTCAGCCTGTATCCACAGCAGAGGTGCTCCAGCCCTCTGAGGCTCTTTATAGCCCTTCTCTAGACTCGCTCAAACAGGTCCATGTCTCTCACGCAGCTCTTTAAGTGGGGTCTCACCAGAGCAGGGCAGAGGGGCAGAATCACCTCCCTCGACCTGTGGGCCACTCTGCTTTTGATGCAATCCAGGTTACAGTTGGCTTTCCGGGCTGGAAGTGCACATTGCCACATCACGTTCAGATTTTAGCCCACCGGTATTCCTAAATCATTCTCTGGAGGGCTGGAGACACTCGCCCTGGCGGCTGCTCGTCACCTGCTACTCAGGGGACCTGCATAGGCAGAGGGGCATAAGCCTGGAAAAGGGACAGGAGGAAGATCTGATTCCTCAGCGAGGCTTGCAGAGCAGTGTCGAACCCTGCCTCCTTCCTCAGGACAAGCACGGAAGGCTCACGCTGCCTGAGAGGAGCCCGGGAGGGGAAGAGAGCGGCTCATGGGCTAGACCGCGCTGCCGCCGAGGAGGTCCCAGAGAGCAGCAGGACCCCTCATCCCCGCCACGGAGATCCCTTGTCTCCCAACACGGGATCCCTCCCGCGGCCAGTACAGAACCTCGGCCGCCCGTGACTCGCTTGGCGCCGAGATCCCAAGCTAAGAACTACATTTCCCAGAGGCGCTTGCGCCCGGGCGGCGGAAGAGGCGGACTGGGTGGGCTCTCCCTTTCTGATTGGTCGCTGGGGGCAGTCCGAGCGGCCATTGGGTGGGCGGGGAAGTGTCGTCGACGGTGTGCGGGGCACTGGCTCACGTGGGCCCGTGCGGGCGCGGGAGTGGGATCGGGATCGGGAGCGGGCTCAGGCCGAGGGTCCGGGGGGAGCGGGCCCGCCAGGCCTCGCCATGCTGGGGGCCCGGGCCCAGGGCGGGTGGCGGGCCCTCCGGCGCTGCGCCTCCCTGCCGCGGGCGGTGCGGCTGCGTGTACGCGAAGCGCTGGGGGCGCGGGAGGCGGCGGACGCGGTCAGAGTGCAGGTGTGTGTCCCGGTGTGCCTGGAAATGTCCCGGTCCAGAGCCTGAGCGGAGGGGAGAGGGCCCGTAGTGGTGCCTCAGGGAGGAAGAGCTGGGAGCTCTGCAGGGCGTTTTGCTGAGCTCCCGGATCACCTTCGGGGTGTGCGGGGCCTCACTCTGCGATCTTTCGGTTTGTGTACTCAGTTTGCTGTTGTCAAAGCTTTGAAGTTACTTGGTAGGGGCAGGGAAAGGTGGTGTCTGTGATGGGTTGTACCGAAAAGTGCTCTCTACAGTATTGGCTTTATCGCCTGTTCCGTTTGGGAGAGCAAACCATTTTACTGTCGTTTTCAAAGTTTTTTTTTCTGTGTCTTGTACCGCATCTTTGTACCACATGCCTGTAGGTTTATAGCAATGTAAGTAGAATCATCGATAGCTTTCACTGCTGTTCGTGTCTGGCTCCTGTTGTGAACCAAGGTAGACTGGGATAAATGAACCTTTTAGCAATGGAGCTCTTTCCCTTGACATAGGGTTGTGTGTTCCCCAGATTTCTGGTGTTCCCAACTGGCAGAGCAGTGGTTGCACACATACCTGTTTTGGTGCAAGGCCTGTGGCCAGAACTGTGTAGTTGTCAGTATTTCTGAATGAATCTGAAGAGGACTGGGGTACTTGGTAACAGTTTTAAACAAAACTAAGAGAGTAGATTTAGATTTATGAGAAGGAAGATCCATACCTTGAGGGTGATGAGGCACTGGCACAGATTGCCCAGAGAATATGTGGATGCCCCATCCCTGGAAATGTCCAAGGCCA